TGTGTGTTTCAGGAACTTTGTTGTTTCCAGGGCTCAAAGTAAACCAAGGTGTTAGCGGGTTGGTGTGTTTTGAAGGACCTCTGAGTGTGATGGGCCGACGTCTGTAATGAGTGGGAGGTAAACAGGGCCGAGGTCTTATTTATTCATAAGGCAAACAGAGACTGTGCAGAGAATGGGAATACGCATGTGATGATTAATTTAGAGGCCATTTGTTTCAGGCCACACCGGCTAATTTCCCTCTAAAATGACGAGCAGTCTTCATCAAACTCTGTCCCCTCGTCTCCGGCTAGACTCCTTATTTGACTTTCAAACAGCTTTCTGAACCATCGACCATTTCTACCATCTTTCAGTGCTAATGCACTTTCTGTTGAGTGATAATTACTGCGATTATAACTCATTAAGTGCTTAAAAAAAAGTAAAAATAAGATTTTGAAGACAAGGCTTCTTCTTTTCACACTGTTTCAATTCATTATGCCAATAAAGACTCTTATTCAATCAGGATGTTTTTACCTTGAACAACAACATAGCAGGTTCTTGATCTCCTGTAAACAGGACTGTTCAGAACTAAAGGACAATCCTGCAAACAATGTAGATAAGATGATCATCAGACTCTTCAATGAGGCAGTCATGTGTTACATGGCAGATAATTATAAAACAAAGGCGTAATTTACACCTTTCACAACTCTTCATGCCCCATGGAAATTAATCTATTGGTTAATTTTGTCAAGCCAAGCGAGTGATATGAAGGGAAATATCATTCTTGTGTTGTTAATCCAATCCAATGGGCTTAAATTTGTTGTTTTACTTTGAAATAATATCCTTCAGATTTTAACTTTTCAGTCGCTGATCAATTAGATAGCTGTGAAAAAATAAAAATACATTATATTTTTTAAATAGCAACTTTAAAAACAAGGGTTTATAAACAATGAAAGAACCTGAAAACATAGGAAGCTAAACAACACAAGAACCCAAACAACATGGCTAGATTCAGCAAGATTATGAAATTGAGACCACGAGGACCAGGGATATAAGAATATAGTAGTAGTTGTAGTTACAAATGAACCATAAAGAAATGACTAGAAAAAAAAAGTTCCCAAAATGTTCCACAAACATTTCCTTTAATTACTCAACTTTCAAGATGGTGAGACTTTTTAATTTTTGCCTACATCCAAAGGCTATACTAATTGCGTCTGGGATGTAGCATCAATCTCCACTGACGAGTGGTTCCCCTCTTTTTGACTGGCTTCCTACAAGAACAGGAAGTGTTCTCCTTTATTTTGAAGTATTTCTTAAAGGCTCAGTTGATAACGGGAGCTAAATCCGGAAAATCTTTAGCGCTGTTTTTAAATCTGTTTCCTTAAACCAAGAAGGAAAAGGTTGTGTACGTTCCAAGACACTTTAACAAGGACTTTCCAAAAAATCAGGATGTAAGCACGATGCTAAAATTCCTGCAGTTGTACTCGGTCACTGTATGACATAAAGGCTGCAGCACTGAGTGGCAGAGCTCTTAACCCTCAGACGATCCTGTCACCCTGCTTTTCATCCACGAGAAGCAAAATTTGAGCTCAACATGAACGCATCTTTAACGATGTGTCAGGATCAATTATCACCCTTTGAAAAGCAGCCGCTCTTTTTTGAAGGAGGAGAGATGCGTGAAAACTTCGAAGTCAAAACACACATGTCTGGAAAGAGTCCCGCTCCCAGACGATCTTAATTGCTAATTTAGTGTGTTGTCTGCTGCGTACTGAGCACATAAGTGACAGTTCAAAGAGCAGTGCCTCATTTCTTACTGTTAGTACTAACATGCAAACCCTCAGTGGAATGACTCTGAAACAATTGGTCTGTTTTTTTGGGGGGGAATGTCTATAAAGTTAAATCTAATATTGTTGCTGCAGCATTGCTAAAAATTCAGAATATGAATCCTTACGCAGAGAATATAGATTTTTTTCTAGATATAAATCAGTAGAAACTATGCATATCATGTTGGCTAATGCATGCTATAATGCATGTAATGTAAACGCATATATGTTTTCCAGCCCGGAGACATAAACCAAAGGTATCTTGTTTACATCTGACCACCAGATAACATTCAAAAGGCTGCTTTGAAGATTTCTCTTTCAGATTTGGAGTCCGTGGTAGATAAAGCGAACTTGAAATTGAAAGTGCGACTGAGTCGCCCCCTCGGCTGTTTTGATTTAGGCTGTTGTGTGGAGCGTGCCTGGCGGAGATATTTGCTCAGACTTGGCCGGGGATTAAGGGCTCCTCTTCTGGGATCCAGAGAAAACAGAGGTCTGATCCCCCTCCATGTCGCTCCGCAGGGCACAAGTGGGTGGCGACTGTGTTCGTGTGGATCCCAGTAGGTCAGCGTGTGTGTGTGTGTGTGTGTGTGTGTGTGTGTGTGTGTGCACATGAACAACTTTGTACATGACACAGGCTTGTCTGCATGTATGTTTGTATCCAAGTGTGTGCAAATGCTCTCGCTGCTGCTGCCTTCTTCTTCAAAGCAATCTCTCTGATCCCTTTACTTCATCATTTTACACAGCCTATATGATGCTGAGGGCACTTCACACACACACACACACACACACACACACACACACACACACACACACACACACACACACACACACACACACACACTCTCTGAACCTTGTTTTCTAAAGCTGGTGGTTGTTATCGTGCAGCCCACCCATCCCTCGCCCGCGCTTCTGTAACGTCTGCGTTTGCAAAAACAGGCTCAGCTTTGCGTGTAAAGAAAGCGGGGTCGGATGAGTGGAGGTTTTTTTTGTGGCTTAGTTCGATTTAAAGGGAAGGGTGGTTGCAAGTTAATTGTGCGCAGGTGACTCCACACAGGTGCTCCTGCTTTTATAGATTAAGCAACACTGATGGAATGAGGGAGGGAGGTATAAGAAGAAAGAAAAGCAGATCAAAAAGATTTGCAAGGAGACCAGAAATGCCCGTCTTTCTGCAGCAGCTCGCTTCACCCTCAAAATAAAAACACCACATGCGGTCAGCTGTTTTTCAATAGACAGACTTGGAGTCCTCTGCAGGTTTGTGCCATTGATATTGAGCCGAATTCCCTCTGACAGGGGTGGTCTGTGTGCCGGCCCGCAGCAGATGTTGCCGTTCCATTTTCTCTTTCATACTGAGCTGCTCTTCAGAGAATCGTGCGGGAGGATGAAAAACTGTCTCTGTTTATTACTGTGAGGAACCCGGCGCTGACGAGGCCCCGCTGACCCTCTCAGGAAGGAAAAACAAGCAAATTGAACGAGTCAACAAATGGACAGCGGCCGTTGCTTCCCTCCTCCCCCCCGGGTCTCCCTAGCAGGTTGTTTAAGGCACAACATCGGCTCAGCGCGCCGACGATCAGCATGAATGAGCCTCAGAAACGATGAGGCTTTCAACAGGTTTTTTCCTCCTCTCATCGTGGTCTCATCTGTTAAGTGCCTGTCAGGGCAATTTTTTCAAATCAGTCAGAAGGCTGCAGGCAGGAGGAAAAACACCGGGAGATTCCTCAAGCAAAAAAGGAAAACAGAGGTGCAGTGGAGGAGGAAGGAAGAAATGAATATGGGTGAAAAACACAGAATAAGACATGAAGAATGACTGACAATTTGTCCCTCCAGGCACAGACTGTGTTTGATTTACTGTACACTGCCCTCCATTGACACTGCGGTTATTATGTACAGTCACAGAGGCTTGTTGCTGCTCTAGGCCTTCAGTTTACTATAAACCCAGGATAAGAGGAGGTGGTGTAAGCAGGGTCTAAAACTAACCTTTTGGTCTATCTGCATATATACACATGTTGATCTGATTGATAAAACCCGTCAGTGAATGCTGACGTTATGTCCCTGCAGAAAAAGGATTTAAATGTGTTGTGTGAGGAAACACAACAAACCCGAATTGATATCAAATAGAGCCTCACTCAAGTGGTAGAATGTCTAGATATCTTTAGTTCTATGTCGGGTATGAATGCATGTTTAACCTCTCAAATTCATATTAGCTTTAGACAGAGGCACATCCAGACTTTTGTGAATGGGGTGGCCCAGCGGGGGGGAACTGACTTCTGCAGGGGTGGCCGGTAGTGTGATGTGTGCACAAACACACACAAATCAATATAAATGATTTACCTTTTCTAACATCCCCAATAATCTCTACTTTACAAGACAAGATAATAGCAACATTAGCTTATTTTTTTAATGAAACAAAAAGAAGATTTATGTTTAAAGTCTCTATATAAAGTACTTAAAAATGTATATATGCTAACTTCTGCACAGTCTAATTTGCAAAAACACACTAATTGGCATTGTTGTTGTTTTTGTCCAACACATTACCTGTTAGTTCATTGCAAGTAAGGCAGACTGGATTACTGTCGTATGGAAAATTCCTTTGAAATATCTGTGCAAAGTTTGTATATATATTTTAAAGTAACAAAGAAAATATGCTACATTGATATGTAAAGCAAAATACTAGCAGCCTTGGAAAAAAATACCTTATAGTTGGGTAAGTTTCGCCTCAGACAGGGCAAATGGCCAATCACAGCTTAGGGCACCAAGGGTGGCCAATCAGGTCTCTAAGGGGGGGCCCCTTCTGGACACGCCCCTGGCTACAGAGTGACTGCAGTCAGAGTGAAAGTTCTACTTTAATGTTTCCTGACACTGTCATCCTAAAAAGCGTGTACCTCTCAGTGTTCAAGCTGCCAAGAAGCTGCCAGGAGACCCAGAACGAGGCTTTCAGACTGCACACATCCTTTAAAATCCTCAAAACCTCCTTTGGCGCTCTGCCCTGGAGGCTGAACGGAGATAAGCAGAGACAATGTGAAAAAGGTGTAACGGTGGAGATAAAAGGAGTAAGGAGGTGCAGCGATGATTCTCTAAGAAGCTGAGCGTGTTAGAGGCAGTTTGATGACTTAAATGTTCTCTACTTATTGTTGTTGATGTACTTTGTTTAATTAGAGTCGCGGCGATGAGAAACAGAAATAAATACACGAAGGCTAGATTGAATAAAATATTTACATATAACATCTTTTATTGAAGGAGTGCCTTAAAAATCCCCAACTTTAGGAAAACAGTCAGAAGAGCACAATTAGATCTGTAACATTATCCCCAACCAAAAAGAAAATCTACAGTATATTAGAGTCTTGTCTGATTCTTACACCAGAACACAACTGTAGGTTTTGTGTCTTTTGAGGCACATCTGCTTTCAGACAGTGGACATGAGTAGACACAAATTAGGAACACAACCCAGCCGTTGTTCTCATGCTCTCCAGGTTTAAAAACAGACACACACACACACACACACACACACACACACACACACACACACTGCCTCGAGGCAAGGAAGGCCAGTGACATCAAGTGTATTCAATTCACAGCGAGGCATGTCGAGGAAATTTGAGTCACAGTTTTGGGAAAGCCTGTTTGAGTTGTTTCCCGTCCACCAGAGTCGCTGTTCCTCCAATAACAGTGAGTGCTATCTTTGCCTGTAACTTCATTATCTGAACGTGGGGGAACGACCATGAAATAACAAACACACGGTGTTCCCCACCTCACACACGTAGAGAAAGTCGGTAAGGTTTAAATCGAAGACCTGAAATTAAAATGAGGACGTTTTTAGTGTTAAATATCAAAAGAACAAAACTCTGAAGGCATGGGGAGAATAATAAAAACATAATACATACATACTGCTTGTGTACTTCTTGAATAAATACATTTTGAAAATACATATATTTTTATCTTTTATACTGATTTTTGCAAAAACGAAAAAAAAAAGTTAGAATTTGAAAGCAGCTATGTTTGAAATATGGCATTCAGTCCCTGGATGATTCCATCCTCTTAAAGAAGCACTACATAAAATGTTTCTGGACCTGAAAGTGAACAGTTTCTTCAGATAGTGCAGGAAAATATAAACCAATGACTTCAACAAGTCAACGTGATTGTAGAAGAAAAACATCCTCCATGATTGTGGATTAGAGGCAGCAAAGACGATGAAAACAGTGAAATATTGCATATCTGGGCGAGCCTCTTTCTCTCCGGTTACGGACACATATTGCTTCTAGGGGGACTGCTGAGGAAGTAATGGGAACAATGAATGGGTAAAAATATAAGACTCTGAGAATTAAGTCTTGACAATTTGAGGGAAAATAAGTTGTAATATTTAGTGAAATTAAAAATTACGGCTAAAATGGCTTAATATTTTCAGAATAAGACCCCACATGTAGTTAAAATATTTCAAGACAAACAATTTGATTCTTATATTATTTCTAGATTAAAATAAAAGGAACAAAAACAATCGCCTCCTTAAACCAAAATGAATATATTAGCTTTTAGAATAGATTTATGTGAGAACATATTTTATGATAAGTTCAGATTTCTACACAAGAAACCCGGGCAAGAAACTTTTGATTTTAGGAACATAACCGCGATGTTAAAATGATATCAGATTAGAAGTGCATGTCGTGGTATTACTGGACTCTAAATAAATAGAACTACCTTTCATTGCAAACTTAAGTCTTTTCAAATTCTAACTTTTACCAGCCAAAATCAAGAGTACTTGAATGAAAAACTTAATTCTCAAAATCAAACATTTTCACCCCTACAGTACTCCTAATACTCCATTGCAGATATTTTCCCATTCCTCAGTGTCAAACAAAAACACATTCAGTCATCCCAACCAAAGAAGCGTCCTGTCATCTGGTAGAACTTCATGTTGAAGGGCCTGTAGAAGTCCCGTAGCCTCTGGACCACCTCAGGATCAATGTTCGGGTGGGTCCGCCCTTTGGTTTTGCCCAGGCAGTGAGGCTTGCTGCTGCCCTCGGCCTTCTTGAGACACGGGAAACCCTTGGTCTGGTTGAAGTAAAAGTGTTTGTCCGTGATGATCCTCTTGAGCCCCAGGAAGTCCTGCACGCGGCCCAGCTCTCCGGCCGGGTCGCTGATCAGACGCTCGCCGCTCACGAACAGGATCTGGTCCATGGGGAAGTACTGCAGCCAGTTGTCCAGGTGCTTGGCGTAGATGCCGATCTGGACGGCGCTCCACGAGGTGTCGATGAGCCCTGTAGTCCTGTTTTTGAAGGTAAGGCTCTCAAAAGAGGGAATGTCAGGCTTCTTGGACAGAGTCTGTGTGTAGTCTGAGATAGCCCTGGTGACCGGGTCCCTCACCACCACGATCAGCTTAGTGTCCCGGGACATGGCGGAGATCCTGGCTGGAGCCTCCCTGGTCACAAAGTAGCTGGGGGTTTTCTCCATGGTGATCTGCCCCTCCAGAGTCTTGGGCATTAGATCCCTGCAGAAGAAAAAAATCAAATAAGTTAGTGAGATAATAGTTTGACTTGCACTCCTGACTTAATCACAGTGAGAAGTTCACAGTTGTGCCACCGCTGCTGGTAAAATAAACCTAACATTCGGACGAACTCAGGCTAAGTCATTAAAAAATTCCAATCCAATCAATCAAGAAAAACACAGGAAACCTTTCCTTTCCTACAAGTTTATTTGATTCCTATCAGGTATCTTTCTTTAAGGCTCATTTGGCTTCCAAGAGGTGTGACCAAATGTTGATTTGCAGTGTTGACTCAGCACTGTGCTCTCCATGGAAAGACATTCTTACGCTGATAGTATGCAGATGCTACCTCCCTTGTAGCATGTTCCTTAATGTAGCCTGAGGGCTTATGAAATCGAGAAGGGGGCTCCCTTGGGTCCACTTGAAAGGGGGTATTCTTCAGTCTCATATGGCGCGAAAAAGAAGATTGTCAATCTCTATACCAGTACTCGGGTAGTGCTGGTGATAAAATATTGATATTTGAGCTTCTCAGCATAATTGATCACCTTCTTGTCTTTCACTTTTTGTAACGAGTGGTGGAAGAAACAGATTTTGATGTTGCAAATTCTCCTACCTATGTTTTAGCTCCTCCCAGAATTGTTTATTTGTGGTTTAACTATCATTTATTTGAAACTAGTATGGATTTAGCTTTTGAAGTGTTTGAGTTTAAAACAGTTTCACTTGCACTCACAGAGAAACAGAAGCCATAGATTGGTTTCCTAAATATGTTTACCTTGTGATATTCAAATTCTAGCAAAGAAAGTACACCCATAAATCCCTTTCCAAATATTTACCCAAGAAAAGTTCAGCTAGGCACAACCTGGGGATCAGCATTTATTTCTTTCGTTCGAGTCCTTCTTTCAGGATCTCCCAAAAAGGGGGTGGGAAACGAGATAATCCATTCAGCCATGCCACCCCTCTTCTCTGCGATCCTCTTCTTCTGCTTCCCTTCTGCCCAGCTGCCTTCAGGACAGTGACCTTAAGCAAAGCGGGTAAAAGCAGCCCATGAATGATTAACGCGCCTTCCCTCTGCCATTTAGAGCCTCTGCAGAATACAGCTTTAAAATTCACCAAAGTACAGAATGCAGGCGTCAATTATTCATCTGCTTGGCTGGTGCTGCTTAAAGCGAGGACTGGCGCTGACAAAGTGGCCCGGGCTGCTCCCAGGGTAGACGCTGTTTTCGGCCCGTGACAGAACTACCGAGACGCTAAAGAAAAAAGGTCCTCGGAAATTTCTGAAGACTGAAGAGTGCTCAACACTTCAGCCTGTTGTTGTTTTTGTAGGATCGCTCAGGCAGTGGCAAGCACTAGCATCTGTGATCAGAGTGCAGCTTCTTCCTACCGCAGTGTCTTTTTCTGATGTGATGGACATTGTTTTTCTGCCTGGCAGATCAAGGCTCGTAAAGAACAATCATGCTCTGTTTGACTTGCTCAGTGAAATGAGACAGAGGGGGCTGAGAGCTCTGTCCTAGACAAACTTTAAGCGTCCCATTTCTGCTGTCACGATGGTTCTCCAACAAGTCAGCCAGCTTGAAAGAACAAAATGCATACTTTGTTACAGATCGTATCCTGTTCCTCTAAAACCTCTGGCTTTGGTTAGGTTCAAGCACTAAATGCCAAACAATAGCCTCCACCGGTTTTGATTTGTTTGTACTTTGCCTGTACATCAATACACTCAACCATACATTGTACACATGACTGATTTATCTGACTTACATCATTATGATAGTTTTACCTTCAGTATAGAATAAATTAGCTTCCTTTAAACCTTGTTTGATGTGATTCCTTTCTTTGTCACTTATTTTCTAGCCAGTTTGTAGTGCTTTAAGGATTTCATCCAACCAATTTGGACATCCAACTGTGACAGACATTTCAGCCTTTGCCTCATGAATGCAAACATATTGTTTTTTGGCAGTTGAAAGAACACAGATAATTTGTTTTTTTCTTGGGGGTAGCAGAAATTCTCCTTTCCCAAGTTACTGTATTTCACTCAAATAACACTTCAACATCTCTTTTTGTCAGGATATCATGGAATAAAAGGAGATATTCATCATTACAAAAATAACTAGGATTGCAGTTATGGCAAACTAAAATTACACCAGATGGAGATTCCCTAACTCCTGAAGTGTCTCTAATATTGAGGTGGCAGCACAGGCAGCCGGTCGTTGTACCAGGCATCAGAACAGCTGCTGGTTGGTCGCAGCGCATGAAGTGAAATGGATCTAAAAGCCAAAAGTCAATACCTTCAGGCTCATGTCAAAACACATCTCTGCCATGTGTGTGAGTATTGCGAGTGTTTCTTCTCTGTAAGGAATAGATCATAAGGTCAGCACTGGGGGGACATGCAGGAAGTGGTCGATAAGAGCAAGGCGGCAACACAGGTGCATTGATGTCTCGACATCCGCCCGCAACATTGACCGTCACCTGACCTCCAGAGTCCTCTCAGTGTCTCCAACACGGTAAAGAGGAACATGGACAAGGCTCCTTTCCTCTCGCATTAGATCTGCCCCATCGCACCAAGTGTCCGGAGTGATGCTGGATAATGGTGCCTTAAAACAGCCCAGTTCCATCGGGGACTGCAATGGCTACCAAGCTGACAAGGCAATAACAAAGAACATGGAGACTAATTATTGATTAATGGGGGGTTTCATGCATGCAGGTAGTCTTTCTGGGCGGCTTCCTGGCTATAGTGGCGACATGCTGATTTAGGGACGACTTGACTTCTGTTCTAGCCCTTATAGAAGTACCGCAACTTCATGATGCAAAAGAGAACATTATTGTTTTATGAAAAAGAAATGAGCCTGTACTAAAGGAAGCATCCATATTTGATGGCATGCGTCACGCTTGTTCTGTGCTAGAGGCACTCACACAGCGGTGGTGGGTTTGTGCGAGGGCACTCTGAGGGGGATTATCAGGGTCAGGAAAGTACAGAAAGTGGTATGGGGCAAGGTTGTGAGCTTCAGGTTGAGAATGGTTTCAGGTTCAGCCATGTAGTCCAGTCACATGAAATAGATACTGGTTGAACTGAATTGTGGTCGTTTTTTGGTGAAGACAATTCCAAAAAGCAGCCATTGCTGATCTTGCATATTATAATCTGAAACCAATATTTGAAAAGATGCAGCACTTAGTCTTAAGTAAACCAAGTATACTTTTCTGAAAAATCTCACAAGTATTGCTTTGGAAACATTCCTTAAGCAGGCTACACACTTCAAGATCATCTGGCAGATTTTTCGGTCCCACCTTCCAACAATCCAAAGCAAATTCCGGATTTTTTTAATGGTTCTAAAGATTATTTGGCCAAATGTTCCAGCGATGTGAGGTGTCTTTGGAGTCGTTCTATCTGCTTCTAAGGAAGCCGGAGCCACCCGATTGCAAATCCTAAATAAAAAACATGTTCAATATTAACGTTCAGATCTCCTGTGTGGGGGGAACCCCGAGGACAGCCGAGAACGCTTCCTGTGGATTGTCATGTGAACAAAACAATAGCCAATTGGGAAGCAGGCTGACTGAATAACCCTAACCCACAACTGCAGCAAATCAATTTTTACAGGTAGGTTTCAGATAGGTCATGACTTGGACTGGCTTAAATGAACTGAATGTCAGTCATCAATAAAGTGACTAATGCACAGAAATGCTATCCAAGAGAAGAACATCAATGCTCAACTTTTAGTCTTCAGTTCGGTGAACGGGGCCAGGATACTCGTTTTTACAGTAAGTGAACCACAGTGGGGTATTTCTTTCCATTCTATAGCAGAGGCATGCTGTGCTTTCAAATGAAACTTTATTGGCATGGTAGGTGATGTAACAGATGACAAAACGTCCAAGCTCTTAATATTTACTGCTGTTCCACATTCTGCTTTGATGTCTTCATCGGGGCTGCTAAAAAAACGACTCCCTCAGCTCAGTGATGCATGAAACACAGGCAGCGGGTTTCACTTATGAAAGAGGACTTGGACTCCAACTGGAATAAGAAACACGGTACATGAACTCTAGCCTTGTTTTAAATCAAATTGACTGCTTTGGCATGCATTTGAGAGCTGGGGGGAAAAAAAGTAAAGAAAAAACGTGTAGGATGACTAACAAGTTAAGAAGAAAACAAAACAGTTTGTGTACATGACAGAACATAACACATGTTGTAATTGTACGTCATTCCGCTCATATGGAACTGACTTAATTGAAGAAGGGCGCCAGGATTCATTGGAGTGTCTTTATTCCCTATTAAAAAAAATGAATCCAATGTACACAGCAACACGCAGTACATCACTCAATGAGTCCTTTGTAGGCTTGTCTATAAAGTAACCACTCTGGACTAAAGGGGCCTGACGCATCGCTGCTTTCGTTTCCCTACTGAACGAATATTCCTCGCAAACCAACTTAAACACATGCAGTGACTCATGTCTGCTTGTTATATAAAGGCCAAAAAAAAAAGTCTGACGGGGGCCATAAGGTCTTATTTACTGTAAACCCGGAGTATGCATAATGTGACAGCTTGACATATGAATTAGGGAGGAGTAAAAAAACAAGCAAATGATCAGCTCTGAATGGGCCTCTCCTGGTGATATTCTCTCAGAAAGCAGCTTGGATCCGGGCCAATGTCTGTCAATTGACGGGAGTTGTAAAGACACAGAGGCAAGTGGGCGAGTGAGAGCCGTCCACTTCTCCCCCCCGCAAGCCTTTGATTCATTTTTCCTCCTGCAGCGGGGGAGCCCTGGCAGACATAACTACACTCCCACAGTGTTCCCCTGCCACTCGCACCAGATAATCATCTTGTAATTGGCTCAATATTTCTGCTGTTTGCAGGCGAAGCAAAGGCCAGCGCCGCTCTTGGTGGCTTGGACTCGCCTGATATTTTCCAGGTCAGTGGATGCTAGCAGAGGTCAGAGAGAGAGAGAGAGGAGGGAGGGGGATTTGGAGTAATGGCTGCTGTGCGGTGAGGGGAAAAGCCCACTCTTCTAAGCTTGGGGGCT